CAAAAATATAAATTGAAACTGTGTAGATTCTATTTTGCAACAATTTGGAAGGATGTGAATGTGTTAAATTTCAACATAATATGTACTCATGACTTCTGTCATCACTTACAGCACACAGACTTCTAATGCTGCAGTCACACTGGATTATGGTTCTCCACGAGATATAGAGGTTGATGAATCGGACTTTGATAAAATGTCAAAGGAAGAAGTTTCTGATAAAAGTAAGTGTGCTCCTGCATTAGGAACGTTCAGTGACTGCTAAGGCACCTTGTATCTTGTTAAAGTACATTTAATGTCACGTCATTTGCAATCCTGAGTTTACTAGATCATAATATTAAACCACAAAACTTCAATTTTATGAGTAACTTATTGCTTGTTTTGGAAAAAATACTAAAAGCAAGAACAACAGATCCCAGAGTAGAATGTATCCTTAGGGCAGTTAATTATTTCAGTACATTGAATCATGCCACCATGTGATCTTCCTTGACAGACTGCTGAGCTTGTCTGTTTCTCCTTTTTTTTTTCATCTAGAGAAAACTGGGAGTTGGAAGATGTCCAGCTTGATTAACTGGTCAGTGGGTGTAGGATACAGGGTACATCAGGGCCCAACAGCTAGGACCAGGTGTGGATTGGGAGTAGGGGCAGCTATTCTCAGGCTGCGGCCTGGGACAGTGGAACCTGTGATTTCTGTCTCTGGTGGTAACTGTCCTGCCTTTCTGCCAGAGGATTCTGGTGTAGGCTGCACCCAGGATGTGCCTTTACTGAGGCACCACTGCATTATTGGCTATCTTCTGGATGGGAGGTTACACTGGGCTCCCTTCTGAACGTCGGAGATCTTCCTGAATCTTTTGGGGAAAGAAAATAAAAATTTATATTTAAATAGCACTTTCTATGACCACAGGACATGTCAAAGTGATTTATAGCCAACACGGTGATTTTGAAGTGTGACCACCGTGTTTTAGTTGAAGAACAGCATGGATTTCTTCTGCAAGCCAACTAATGTCAACAAAACCGAGCAGTATGGCTTTTCCAATACAGATCATGATATATGTCCTACTCAAATGTGAGCTGATTATTTCCAACTCCCATTTGGGGTTGTTCCTGTTCCAATCTGAATCTCTTGACGGAAAGATCTGTGGCAATATTAATGCAGTGTTAATCACCCATAGCTGCTGTGACTAGTAGTGAGTTGAAACCTGACTCTCCTTTCGAAGAAGGGTCCCGGCCTGAAACATCAACTTTCCTGCTCCTCTGATGCTGCCTGGCCTGCTCTGTTCCTCCACAGTGTTATCTCTAACTGCAGCATCTGCAGTTCTTGCTATCTCTGACCCTGATTTGTGTTGTTTTTATTCCTGTAGCTGTTGCAATTCTCTAAATTGTTCTGCATTCCCTTTAAGTGAGTTCAGACACAGTCCTGTTGAACAGAGAAGGACATCAGTGTGACTTGAACTTATGTTAGTCACAGGGCTTACCAAGGACAGGTCAAAGCAGTCAATTGAAGTCCACTGTTAAATGAGAACAAGAGAATATATCAATTGAAGATTAACTCACTTCCTGGCAACCACGCTTCCTTTCACAATACTGGAGGATGTTGAGTTAGGGCTTGGTTATAATCAATTACATGGATTGTGCTGACTTGAAGAGGTTTTCCATGTAAGTTTATGTTAATGAGTTTCCCGGGAAATGTAAACATTTTGTTTTCATCTAAATACATTCATTCATGGGATTATGTCTTTTGTGCAAAGCCAGTTTTGCTCATGATATTCTTGGGGCAGGTTGTTGATAGCTGACATGTTGCTTAATTATTATTTCATGGAACTTTGGTGGATGTAAGTTGTTGGATGATATTCCCTAAGTAATGTGGAGCCGCTATATTTCATTTCAAAAGTAATTGAGTGGAAATGAAATGCTTTGGATGTGAAAGCACAGAAGTGCGCTTTAGAAATGCAACTTCTGTCTTTCTGCTGCCATCAGCTTTAAGGTTATTTGTTTCTATAGTGACAAATGATTGTGTTCAGTGAGGCAAGGACTGTTTGTACTGGAAAGTGTTGGGCTTTTGAACTCCTAGTGTCAGCAACAAGTATTTCTGGGTCAGGAAGAAAGAACCACATTTCAGAATCTGGTTCTTCTACTTTGCCCCAAAGGTGATCTCTAATTCAATGTCAGAACTGAAGATCAATGCATTAAAATGATACTTTCCACTTCATTGCACACCAGCCTCCTGTTTTCATTAGCATGGAAAATTTGCTTTTAAGTAGAGGAAAGTGGGCCCTTTGAGATCAGAGATGTAAATCCTTCGTAATGTGACTGTTTATCAGCAGTCAACAAAAAAAACTGGGACTGTTTAAATGGCAAGCAGTGAAGACCGTACTGGGGTTTTTTCCAGTTGCTGAGTCTGGAGAATTAAGGAAATGGATATGGGTAACAATGATCTCAGGCCCGCACCCTGAATGTGTGGAATTCCAGAGAGCTGTTTGTACTGCAGACTCATTTTCACTCCTCACCTTTTGCTGGTAGCAGCCAAGAGCATAACCACAAGCTGCTTTACTGCATTTTTTTTTGTTCAGGCACAAGGCAAGACCATAGGCAGCTGATGATGAAAGCACAGATGTCACTTCTTTGTTAGATGCCCATATTGGAGAAAGTCTTCAGCTTGAGTCAATATTAAATGTTTAGTTAATGCTCTGATAGTTTGGAGAGTAGTTAATAGGTTATGAAGTGGCCTGTATTGGTTTGACAGGAAGGAGTAGTTGGTATACAAATAAGTATTCAATTTATGCTCTATTCAAGCCACATGAAGAGTAGAAAAGAATTATTATAATTGACTTTATCTCTATCAATTTTTTTTTTGCTTTTTTTCATTATTCATATTCATTTATTCACTAATTGGGTGTAGGATGTCACTGGGAGGGCATTTGTTCTGCGACCCTGATTGCCCTTCAGTACAAGTGGTTTGTTTTGTGTGCAAGTTTATGGTTTTTTTTGTTAGACAGGTGCTGGTTTCAATCACCACCTCCTGCCTGCTTTAAATTTTGGGAAAGGGAAGATGGATTAAATTTAATGCTTGTAACTGTGGCCCTGTCTGGCAGCAGAAAAGCTAGGGGCAACTGAGGAACCTTGGTAGAATGACCTCCCTGAATGGCATTTGCTTCCAGGGTTTCTGCCCCTTTTAAAAGCCTCCAAAAGCTGCTAGCCAAAGCAGCAGACTGGCAGTTCTTCAGCCCCACCGGCAGCACTGTGTAAAGCGAAGAAATGGAGTGCCGGTAAATTGGTTGACCTTGCCAAGGATGTCAGTCAAGTCCCAGTGGAAGGGGTTGGTCAGTAAGTTTCCTCAGGAGAGGGATAGGGGGTATCTATGCCATCATCAGGGGAGGGGTGGGTGGCAGGCAAGGTGGGAGCAGGGGAGAGGGGTGGTGTGCCCTCCACTAATGGCCACCCCAAGGGAAAATAGCTTCCCCACATGGCATAAAGTACCATGCAGCGGTTAGAAATCTTGTTAAGCAGGGGGTTGGAAGGTTATTGAGGCAGGCAGGATGCACGTTTGCAGTCAGATAAGCCACGATCTTATTGACTGAGAGAAGCAAGCTCGAGGGGCAGAATGGTGTACTGCTGCTTCTGATTCGTATCCTAGAATACCCCGCTCCTTCCCTCCTGATTGTGCAGATCTAGCTTTCCTCCTGGATGGATGCAGCAGTGTTTTGGGAAGGGTTAGATTTCAAATCTTCCTGATTAGAGCACTGGTATTTAACCTGTTTGAGCTAGGCTAGAATCGTGCTTCCCTAGATATGTGTACCCTGTGATGGTTTGGTATGAAATGAAGTTGGATAGTCTTTATAGCCAGGAAGTTCAAACTAATCCTAAACTGGCTTTTGCTTGGAAATTTGCACCAAGAGAAATTATGAAATAAATGTAGTAGAAATGGGAAATATCATTTTGATACATTGGTCTGAGTGTGAGATTTATCATATTTCCTTGTCAACTTTTCTTTTGATGTATTACCTTTGCTCAATTGCTCACCACAGCCATCACAAGCTTTATTTGCACAAATTCCATCCAGCTCATCTAGTTCACCCCCTGAATAATAGTGGGTCCAACTGATTCCAAAGTATTTGCCTCTTCTCCAGACAACAGAACTTTCCATTATTGGATTTTATTATCTATCTGCCATCATTCTTAATCTTGGGTTAATTGTATGTGTCACCTGTGTTCCTTTATTACTGTAGTCATGTTTTAACTTGAAATGTGCTCCTGATTAATATGACTGCATAAGGAAATCGCAGGAATGGATGCAAAGCCACTATTGTATTTCTGTTACAAGCTAATCTTCAAAACTATTGCTGCTTGTGCATGCTTAAATTTTGGTTCGAAATGGTGTTGAAACTGGGTGTACAAAAATCTTGGAATACAATTGCATATCAGCGTACATTTATTTCCTGAACATTGCAAAGACTAGTGCGCTTCTTGGTGTGAATGTTTCAGCGTAATTTCTTATCTGGTGCGGACAGGACTTGGTGATTTATAGCCAGTGGAAGCAAAGTCCTATCCTTAAAATGTCCTTTGTTGTGATCCCCTTTAGGAGATGTACTACAGATAGTTACACAGAGTTTTGTCTCAACTGGTCCAGGCTTTTATACCACCAGAAGAGATGGTGAGGCCAAACTGAGATTGGATGATCCTGATTCTTCAGAACGGCCACCAGTGACTGTCCATCAGACGTTCGTGGAGTCTGTTAGAAAGTATGGGGACTACATGGCCCTCGCATCAAAGAATGGCGAAAACTGGAAGAAGCTAACGTTCAAGCAGTATTACAATGAATGTAGAGATGCTGGAAAAAGCTTTCTGAAGGTAGATAGAACTACTGGCTTCTGCATGTACAACCACTGCCAGTTCAGAGTATATTATACTGTCTCTAAGCTTTGGATTGCTTTTTAATTCTATAGAAAATTAATTGTTAAAACTCTAACTGGACTCATGAATCCAAATGTGAAATGGACGTACCAAAACAAGCAAAGATTGCGATGTGGCAGTGTACATTTCTCTTCAGGTTGCATGGTTTTAATTAATGGTAGCTGCAGATGGCTTTCAAGTGCCCCAGCACAGCACAACTTAACTCTGGCTCACCCCAAATCCCACACGGGTTTTGGGCTGGGTGGGTGGAAGAGACCAGGTTAATGCACGGAGTGAGGGTGTTCTCACTTCCAAAAATGGGACGTCATTTCCAAAGAGACAGTATGAACTGCTGATGCCGGAGTCAGAGATAACAGAGTGGAACTGGAGGAACACAGCAGGCCAGGCAGCGTCAGAGGAGCAGGAAAGCTGACATTTGGGGTTGGGACCCTTCTTCAGGAAAATAAAAGTGAAGCTAGGTCTTTTCTGAAGAAGGGTCCTGACCTAAAACGTCAATTTTCCTGTTCCTCTGTTGCCTGGCCTGCTGTGTTCCTCTAGCTCCACATTTCATTTCCAAAACCATTTTACTGAAATTTAGAGGCCATTGTTACTTATTTTTTATTTCTGTGGGGCTGAAAATGTGTTCTGTTAGGATTGCTGATTGAGCAAATCCAGGATAGCGTATACACTTCAGATCTTGCAGATTGCAGTACCACTCAAATGCAATTTGGGAGTCCATTTCTGTAACTGGGCTAGGAGGTTCAATATTGAAATTGAGGAGTATGCTCATTTCGATGCATCCTAGAGCTGACTAAACAAAGATTCGTAGAATCCCTACAATGTGGAAACAGGCCCTTCGGCCCTACAAGTCCACACCAACCCTTGGAGCATCCCACGCAGATCCATTCCCCCATAACCCACCTAAGCTACGCATCCCTGAACACTACAGGCAATTTAGCATGGCCAATCCACCCAGCCTGCACATCTTTGGATTGTGGGAGGAAACCAGAGTACTTGGTGGTGGGGGGAAACCCACACAGACGTGGAAGCAGGCCATTCAGCCCATTGAGTCCACACTGTCCCTCTGAACAGCATTCCTCCCAGACGTACGCCTCTATTCTATCCCTGTAACCCTGCATTTCACATGGCTAAACCACCTAGCCTGCACATCCCTGGACACCACAGGCAATTTAGCACGGCCAGTCTACCTAACCTGCACATTCTTGGACCGTGGGAGGAAACCCACGCAGACACGGGGAGAACGTGCCAACTCCACACAGACAGAGCCGCCCGAGGGTGGAATCGAACCCACGTCCCTGGCACTGTGAAGCAGGAGTGCTAACCACTGAGCCACTGTGCTACCCAGAAGATCCTGGCTAATTTAGAATTGTTGCAACCATCCTTGCAGAACACTTCCAAGTTTCTGCCTTTCTGATTTTTGTTATCCTTGCTCCCATTTATACCTGTGATGCTGATCCCAGTTTGCTTTTAGTGGATTTCCTGAATAACGTGTACATTACCATTTTCAGCCCTTTAACTCCACATGAGTTGCCTAATGCAAGTTGCAGAGGTTGTAAGTGGTTTTCTACACATTCCTGTTATTAAATAATGTACAGGACCTTTCCACTTTTTAGGTATTTTTAAACAACCTTTTTGTGTATGCGATCATGTAGCTTTTGGAGTAAGTGGGACTTAAATCCAGACCTTCATTGCTCAGAAATAGGGGCACCATGACTGCACCATGAGAGTCCTCCCCTCTCCAATTCTGTCTTTTTGTACACCGCAGTGTTCTTACACACAACTGAACATTTCATTTGCCCCTCCTCATATCACCCAAAGTATCACTTCATGTATGACCACCGCCAGTGAACCTTCCCACTTTTAATCTAGTTTTACATTAAAGTTTCTACCTGCATCCACTCGACACTCCAATCCAGATCAACAGCTTATCTCTGCCCGGCTCAGCAAACCAGTACCATTGCTTGGAGTGTTATAGAGACCCAAACCTGTTACAGTGATTAAATTGTGGTGAGTAATCAACTACTTTTAAAATTGAAGTAATATTTGCTCATCGTGAAAACAACTTTATTTTTTGTGTGCTTTGTGGGTTGCAATATGTTCATTAGTGCATGAAGTACCTTTGTGAAGACTCTATTTTGTTTAACATCTGCATTTATTTGCAGCTTGGACTCCAACGTTTCCATGGTGTTGGAATTCTGGGTTTCAATTCTCCAGAGTGGTTCATTGCGAATATCGGAGCAATCCTGGCAGGGTATGGCTCTGTTCATTGATTAGACTGTGATGGCAGAAACTGTGGTATTGTAGGAGGATCATTTAGTTGCTGCAGAAAATGTAGCTCTCTTCCAATTTGCCTTTCTTTTGCACTAGAACCCACTAAGGCATTTCAATGTGGCACCGCTCCGGTACCTGTCCAAATATCCATTTTCATGTATGAATGTTAATTCTAAGTGTAGGCAAACCTTTTCGAACCAATTTTGATCTTTCTTTGAAATTAACACACGCTAACTATCAGTGAATGTTAGGCTGTCCAGCTATATAAAGTGACCATGGGAATCACAGATTTCATGTAGTGGAGGGCATTCAGACTAACATCTCTGTGCTGGCTCTCTCTGATCATTTTTACTTAACATCATCCTCCAGGTTCTCCCTTGAAGATCAACCGCTTTCAAATAACAATGTAATTCCCTTCTATGCTTCTACTACAGCCTTGGGACGTGCATTCCAGACCTTAACTACTTGCTGTGTGAGAAGGCTTTTCTTCAGGCTTCTTTTGTCTCTTACTTTAAATCTGTGCCCTCTGTTCTCGATCCTTTAACAAGAGGGAACAGTTTCTTCCTGTCGACTCCATTCAGGATCCTTTTTATCGTTTTGAATATCCTTATCAATCTCCTTTTGGCCTCCAGGTGGCACGGTAGTTAGTACTGCTGTCTCTCAGTGCCTGGGGCCCAGTTCGATTCCACCCTCGGGTGACTGACTGTTTATGTGGAGTTTGGACATTGTCCCCATGTCTGCGTGGGTTTCCTCCAGGTGCTCTGCTTTCCTCCCACAGTCTAAAGGTGTGCAGGTTAGATTGGCCAAGCTAAATTGTCCGTAGTGTCCAGGGATGTGCAGGCTAGGTGGGTTGGCCATGGGAAATGCAAAGGTTACAGGGATAGAGTAGAGGGGTGGGTCTGGGAGGAATGCAGTTCAGAGGGACAGTGTGGACTCAATGGGCTGAATGGCCTGCTTCACTGTATGGATTCTGATTCTCTTCAAGGAAAGCAGTTCTACCTTCTCAATCCACCTCCAGAACTGAATTCCTCTTCCCTGGAACCATTCCCATAAATCTGTCTTCTGCACCCTCTCCAATGCCTTCACATCCATCCTAAAATGTGATGCCCATAATCTTTCAATTTCGAATGTACTACATAAAGTTACTATATCTCATTCCAAGATGGTTTTAAACTGATACTTTCATCGTCTAATCAACAATCCAGAATAAAATCCCAACTTTCTTCCGGTTTCTAAATTAATATTGTTGATCCCTATTTTCATCTACTTTGGCCATATCTTTAAAAGGGGGCTGTGATGGCAGGGTCAGACAAGAAGTCTGGTAAGACCCATCTCGATGTCAGGAGCATCTCACTGGATCTTTGACAGAGTTTCTAATCACCCTGTTCAGAGATGTTGTCACATACCTCTTGAGCAGGTGGGACTTGAATTTGGTCCTCCTAGCTCAAAGGTATGGACATTACCTTGCATTGAGTGGCGTGGCAAATTGCAAATTAAGGGGCATTATTCCTTGTTAAATACCTTATTAATGGCCCAGTTCACCTCATTAATATTCCGCTTCCAATCTTGCAGCATAAGCTAGGCATCCGACATTCCTCACAGCCCAGTCATCATGCCTTTAGGACCTGAGGACCAATGGCTGGGGCGATGGAGTATGTGCGCCTCCTCAGCTCACGCAGGCAGCCAGATGGTCACATGACTGGCTGCAGCCTTTGGGTGATGAGGGCCTCCCATGTACCTGTCTGTCAGAGACACTGGTGAGAATGGCAGAGGGTGAGTCTTGGTAGGAGGTTTGGTGCATTGGCAGAGATGGTGTGTGGCACTTACCCCTGGCGGAACAGAGAAGGTCACAGACATTCTTATGATACTGCTGGCTATTCCTCCTCACTGTTGAGATGGCACTGACCTGGATAGTGATCTTGGACTGGGCTGCCTAGGTCTGGTGGTCTGGCCTCCATTGCCAGCCTTTTGGGAAGTGAACTGCTCTTGTATCAACCCCTTGACCAGGAGCTCCTGGTCCCTGTCAAAGAATTGCTTCACCGTCTTCCCCTCCTGTGACACGTTCAGCCCAAGCAGTGCAGCTTCAGAATACTGGCACACATAGACCTTTTTAAAGATGGGGTGGGCACCGGGGATACTGGTCTTTTGGCGAATAGGAGCAGGACTATGAAGCCTGCTCTGCCATTCTATAAAATCATGCTGATCTGCCCCCAGTGTCAACTCCTGTTTTGTGCCAGCTTCTTATTGCCCTCAGCTCCTTTAAAAATCTGTCTGTTCTTTTAAATTCTCTGTGATCTAACCTGCACAGCTCTCTTGAGTAGAGCCTCGCAGCAACGGTTCCTCCAAAAATTCACCCTTAGCCAAAAACAAAAGCAAGATTCAGTCAGTTATAGTTTGTCTTCTTGTATTATAAACTCATAAACTGTTAATTGTGGTGAAGAAAGGACCAAAAATATTTCACTTTTCTGAGCCAAATTTTAAAAGTTAAACAATGGCTACATGGAAAATAAATTCAATGTAGCCTGACGGTAGTGAGATCTTTGTGTTTAAACAAAAGTAAACAGCAGAACGTTGTGTAGGACATTGACTATGAGTCCAATACCCTTTGAGTTTCTTTCTTGTGAGTCATAGTCTACGGATGTGCATCATGCATGTATAAACATTAATTAAGAATGCTTATTGGTAAGAGAAAGTTGGTACTGCTTCTCCACACAGCTGTTAGGGATCATACAGCACAATAGTTCTTTCCACTAAGTACATGAATATAAAAACGTCTGAAGTCCTTTCGTTCCAGCTGCTTTTATCACATTCTGGAAGGCACTACATTGCACCGTTTGCCAAAAGTCTGATAAGCAAACATCCTCTTCTCTCACTCACCCTCTCCTTTCCTTATTTTGCTTTTCTCCTTTGTTCTCTCCCTGTCTTCCTTTTTTTGCCCCTCTTGTTTCTCCCTCAACTTCTTCTCATGCTCTTCCTCTACCCTTTTCTCTCTTACTCGCGCTCTCTTTCCCGCTCCCCTCCTTTTTATCTTTCTCTTCCCCCTTCTCTTTCTTTACCACCTCCTCTTTTCTGTATCTACCTGCCATACTTTTTCTCTTTCGACCCCTTTCTCTCACTCCTGCCTTTCTCTCTTTCTTATCCCCCACTTTCTGTATCCCCTTTTTCTCTCTAATCCACTCCCTCCACGCCCTCTTCCTTCTTTTTTCACCCTATCACCCCCACTATCTGTGTACTTGTGCGTCTCTCTCTCTTTTTCTCTGTCCTTTAATTTTCTTGCATTCATGCTGTTTTTCTCATTTGTTCTGTCTCTCTGCAACATACCTAGAGATGTGAGATTTCACTGATGACTATGACAATTGATGTATAAATAACAATAGTTGCAGAACTTGTATTTCCAAGCATGTCCTGTTTACAGCTGTCCCAAGTCTCCACAGGAATAGCAGGTTAAATGTCAAGGTGAACACTTAAAAGCAAATGCCTAATAATCCCACAGGATTACTGTTCACCATAGACAATATATTCATTCATTAACTAAAAGTCCATTACAATTCTGACCTTTATAATGTTCAGGATTAACTTTGAAAGTAACTTGGACAAAAGTAAGAAATTGCAAAAGGAAATCATGTGGTTGTGAGCAAAAGTAGATTGTGTGTGTGTAGTAGGAATGCATTAAATAGTAATGTGTAGAATTTCTGAGTAATTTATTCCATTATAAAATAAGAAAAGTAATCATCAGGTGCTGTGGAGGGTTGAAGAACTAAAGGAAAAATTAAAACCAAAGAAAACGGGCCTGATTTTTAAACCGTACAAAAAGCTCATGGGAGAAGTTTGAAAATAAAAGGTAGACCAATAAGTTACAAAACCAAACCATCATGGAATAGGAAAAGAATTAATGAAGAATCCTCTGGACACCAGTTTAACAAAAAGAAAGATACTAAGGATAGGGCCACAAAATAAAGACTGAGCAAAGTAAACGCACAGGTTACAGTAGAGAGATGGCTGAAGTACCAAAGAACCATCTTGTCTTCTGTTATTACTAATAAAGGAAATGAAATAGGCATTTCCTCAAAGGATGAGCTTGAAAGGAATATCAGTGGTGTAGGGATAGAAAGAAAGGTTGTAGATTGATTTGCATCAAAGCTAAAAGGGGATACAAAACCAGGTCCAAATGGTACGCACATAAATGCATATTTGAAGAAGTTAGGAGGGAGACAGCTAAAGTATTTGTAGAGATGTCCAGAGATGCCAGAAGACTGGTAAAACAGCACAGTATAAAACCTGGGGTCTAAAAATCAGTCAACTTAATAGTAGTAAGAAAGATGCTGCAGCGTATATGGAAAGAAGTGATTCTTTCGAGAGGAGATATTAAAAAAAATCAGCATGGGAAAAAAATAGAACAGGGCAATGCTGATAATCTAGATTTTCAAAAGCCTGTGTGAAAATACCATGGTATCTTGTATTTCACGGTAGGCTCAAAACACAGGGCATTTGGAATCATTGAACAAGTGTTTGAATAGCAATCAGGTTTTGAGTAAAGATTTGTAGCTCGGGTGCTGGTTGTAAATGTTGGTGTGCTCACTGAGCTGGGAGGTTTGATAGCAGACGTTTCGTCCCCTTACTAGGTGACAACCTCAGTGCTATGGAGCCTCCTGCACAAAACACTACGTGGGACAAACAGCTAGCAACCCTCATCCACAATTACCAGCTAGCAACTAAACGACACGACCAGATGCTCATGGTTTCAATACACACAGACAAGAAAAACCACACTTTCAACTGGGGCAACACTACTATCATTTGACAAGCCAAACAGAGGACATCTAGGGAATTCTTGGAGGCTTGGCATTCATCCGCGGACTCCATCAACAAACGCATTGAATTAGACCTGATTATCCCGACCATTACAATGCATAACCGGAACCAGCAAAAACCAGACCATATAAATTCAAACTGGCACAAGACAACAGTGCTTCACAGGAGGCTCCACAGCACTGAGGATGTCACCTCGTAAGGGAATGAAACATCTGCTATCAAACCTCTCAGCTCGGTGAACACACCAACATCTATTTGAATAGGGAGCAAATTGACTGAGAAATGGAACACAGTGTAGAGGTACAAGGTAATATGGAGGAAGATATGAGGCGGTGTTATTAAAATAAGGCTGTATTGGGATCATTGTTATTCATAACGTACAATAATGACCTTGAGTGGAAGTAAATAACTCAAAATTTGCATATGATGATAAATTGGGGATCCAGTTAACTTTAACGAAGAAACACAAGAAGTAATTAGAAAACTTGGTGACTAGGCCGTTAATGGCAAATACATTTGAATGTAATTTGTGGTTATGTAAGGTGACCTTCAAAGCTTTGAAAAATCTTTCCAAGTTTGGGGGTAAGCATAACATGAGAGTTTAACTGAAAAAATCCTGGTGCTGATTTATCTCCCCTCTACCCTTGATTTATTTAAATGGCCTCCGAGTAGCAGGTCCCCATTCCTCCCGCAATCATTCAGTACAAGTTATTGTAATTTGCCAAACCTTTTTGGGAGTGGGGGAGTAGTTACCGGAACAGCTGCTGATTTTCTGAGCCTTGCATTCCTAAAGATTTTTTTTTTCCTTTTCTCGTATAGTGGATTGGCCGTCGGAATCTACGCTACAAACTCTCCTGAAGCCTGTCAATATGTAGCAAGTGACAGTGAAGCTAATGTTTTGGTCGTAGAGAACAACAAACAACTACAGAAGATCTTGCAGGTTGTGGACTATTTGTCAAATAGTTCAGTGAATCAAGTTTTATTATAAAAGCAAAAACCTTAGTCTTGCATGAATTAGTAATTATTTCCTGTCTAATGTCTATAACATTTGTGCTTATGTATCTTTTTTTAAACCAAGTATGTTTATAATTTCTTCTGTTTAATCAATGCTAGTGATATATTTCATACATTTACTCTGATCATGCACTGTATTATTTGAGAATGCAACTTAAATTTTACATTCTGAGATTTGGGATCAACCATTCTTGGACATCCTCTCTATTTGTGTTTACGCTCTCTTCATGTTTATGTTTGTTATATTTACCTGATGCCTTTATTTTCTGTTCTTACTACTTTATACTCGGGTAGTTTCCTTCCAGCTATAGAGAGCTGTAACACACCAACAGGGCATTTGGCCTGTCAATTCCAAGCCATTAGTTTTCCCCCACACATCCAACTCTCCTCTTCCTCAACATCAAACCCTTTCATTCTTCTCTTTTCAATAATCTAACTTTTCCTTTGAAAGTGAAATGAACCACTGTTAAAATAGTACGTGACATCCCTGGCACCTACTATGTGTAGAATTTTATTTCTAATCTTCTTTCATTCTTTCCATAATTATTTCAAACTTCTTTCTTACAACTTAGCTGACTGTTGAGAGCATAGTCTCTCCTATTGAAATCTTCTGGTATTATTTTATCACTTATTGAGATAATCATGTCTGTGAATGTATTGAGCTTTTTTATTCTAACATCAAACATAGCTATTTCTAGACCTTTTGCAGCTTGGTGGAACGTGATCACGCGTAATCTGTGTATGCGTTTGTACTTTTTGGGTCTTTTTGCGTACAGGTAATGTGTAACTCTTCTTTTTCAGATTCAGGATCAGCTTCCCCACCTAAAAGCAATTGTACAGTACAAGGATGAACTGAAGGAGAAGAGGCCAAATCTTTACACTGTAGGTATATCCAAGATTGAGCCCACGAAACTCTTTGCTACTTATTTAATCAAATCCAGTGTAAAATTCCAAATGATTAAAACCACTTATTATATAACAGGCCTACTGCAACAAAAATGTTTTCAACAATGTTGGCCTTGAGATCTCTGGCATTTATAACTAGCTGCTAGACAGCATAATATTCCCCTACAAGGAACTGACAATCATACTTTGCATTCTCTGCATATTTCACCTACCAGAGAGAGGATGGTCAGTGAACGAGGAAAGGTTTGAAGCAATGTGACTCAAACGGAGGCAGTCTGTAACATTATATAAAACAAAATTGATTGGATATTTATAAAGGAAGAATGTAGAAGCAAACAAGATTTGATCAGATGGCTTCAGTTGAAGAGTTGGAATTGATAACTGCCTGATCGTGTTAAAAGACATCTCCTGTGCAGCCGTTTTTGTTTCTTTTCTGATGTTTACAGTGAGCACTTCAGGTTGTTCCACGGAGATGTTCTGCTGTCCTGGTCTGGTGTTACTATCCAATACTGAATAATGTTGCTGCCATAGCACAGCAGTTCTGCTGTCAGAGCGTTTCCATGAAATCGAATCTGCTCTTTGGGGAGCTCATGTGATGTGTGTGGAACACATTTTCAGTTTTTAGCTGAACAGAGCACTATGATTGCTGACTTAGATGTTACTCCCCTATCTTGATAGTTTTTATTTGTCATCTGGCATTTCTATTCTGTATGAATTGTTGTACAGTAAGATTATAAAACATGCAAACTTTTTACAGTTAGGAGTTGTACTCTACATTTGCATAACGTTACTGGCGTAGCTGCGGGTTGTAGTAAAGTGAGATGCCAATATAGTTGAGATCTGATTGTGGACACTATTGAATTGTTGCCTGTAATAAATGAGAGAGATCTTCGACGTGACATCAGGTGAGACTCTGATATCAGGTTGGCATTAGGGACTACATTACAGTGACATTTTAAGGTTTTGTCTATGATGATGAAGAGAGCAATAAGCTAAGTATTGCTAGGGATAAAACAAAAAAGCGCTTTGACAAAGCACTCGTCAGGACAATTCGGATGAATGCCAGTTGAAAGGGAAATCTTTATACTGCATGAGAGAAAAATGCTGATGAGTTAGCAAGTGAACTCTGGTGGAGTTGTTGTCTTGGAAAACGAATCAATAATGATTGATACTTGACTGCTGAGCTTTGTTTAATTTTGAAACCAGGCAGGTTGACTCCGATCAGGCTGTTACTCTATGGAATTATCAGCAAATTGCTGTCACCCTATTTTGATGAGTTGAAGTAGGTGCAGTGTATGCAAATATCTTTCTGTCTGCAAAGTGCAGGCTCCATATCTTAATATATGTACCTTCCAGTACGTTAAAGTGCACTACACTGTGAGCCTGACTGACAATTCTTAATTGTTGTCAGTTTAATTCTTCACACCATTTTATAAATTGACCTGATGAGTGCAAGACAAAGATCTTCGACAAAATGTTTCTTTTGTTCAGCAGTACTCCAGATTTTACTGCCAAATGACTATGTACAATATAAGTATTTTAACCTTGGAACAGTGGAGTTTGAAGGATTAGGACTCCGATAATAGAGGAGTGGGGTTTGAAGCACAACATGTAGGTCAAGTTTAAGATACTTGTAAACAAAGTACAGATAGCTGGCTTTTACGAAGGGTGAGTAGGAAAAAGGGCAGCAATAGAATGGAAGAAAAGTTGAGGGAAAGGATGTAAACCGCATTTATTTGTTTCTACATTATAAATTATTGGATATCATTGCCAACCAAGACAAATGGAAAATCCAAAGTAATGAAGATATCAGAAAAGAAACTGTTTGGGAAAACTAAGTAAAAAGTGAGGTTAGGAAAGCGATAACAGTGTGGAGCTGGAGGAACCCAGCAGGCCAGGCGGCATCAGAGAAGCAAGAAAGTTGACATTTCAGGTTGGGACCCTTCTAACATGTTCTTTTTGAAAAATATAAAGAATTCCTAAACTTATTTGTTATGAATACATGTAGAAAAGCTGTTGGAAATTTCCAAAGGTAACATGATATCAAGCATTGTGGCATTGATACCAGATTATTTATTTTCAGTGTTTACAGAGGGATTACAAGCTGTGAGAAAATTGAATTTCTTTCTAGGGAGTTGGGGTGCGGATGGGGGAATGGAAGAAATGAGAATTGAATTAGAAGTTTCAGAAAGTGGGTAGTTACTAATGGTCTAAGGAGACTGATAGATGACAAGGCTCAAACAGGTTTCATACAGGAATGCTAAAGAAACAGCTGTATTCTTGTCACTATATTTTAAGGAATCTGTGGAAAGTAGACTGGTGCCTAAGGTTTGGAAAGTAAATCATGGAATCCCAGTCTTTACAAATGAGCATAAGACTGAACCTATGACCTGCTATAGATAAAATATTACAAGGCATTCTGTAAAGGAAAATAAAATGCCTGGACAGGTATGGTACAGTAACAGGGAGTCAACTTGGGTTTATTGTGCCTGTCAATTTTACTAGAGTGGCTTTTGTCCACCCCACCCCCCAGGGTAGAGTATTTCAAGAAGTGGAATTGTATTCAGCTTTGGGTGATTTTCTCTGATAATGTACTTTCTTGTATCTGAAATAGTGGATGGAGTTCATGCAGCTTGGGAAAGATGTACCAGATTCTCAACTTGATGAGATCATTGCTTCCCAGAAACCGAATCAGTGTTGCACACTCGTTTACACTTCGGGGACCACTGGACCGCCAAAGGGAGTCATGCTGAGCCACGATAATGTAAGAGTTGTCCTGTTAATATGTTGCAGCTTGGTCGTGCTTAATTTAATGTCACAGCTTTTTATGGCTTTTTTTTTTAAAAGAAAGTCCTTTTTTCCATTTTAAAGTAAAAACATTTTTGGTTCTCAATTCAGCCCTAAATAGATCATGGGCTAAAGATTTGTTGGTGGATCCCGATCCACCATTGTGAGGATGTGACAGTCAGGAATTTACCCAGAGGAATTTTTTTTTTGAGGAAGTGCCTGGTTAACTGACTGCCTTTAGAAGCTCCATTCAATACATCCTCCCGCTGCATGAGCAGTTAGACGTTAGAATTGCTGATGCAAAGAGAGAGAGGACACCGCTTGATGGTGCGCTCTGGACATGATTTTAAAAGGTTTTTGTGTTTCATAAAATAGCTGCCAGGCTGTCATTTGTGATGGTCCCATTGCTTTTGGCCAGGCAGTACTCACTGTCCCAAAACCACCTCATTGAAAATGAGGCTGGATGTTAGTGGGAAATCGTAGTGGCTGCTTACCATTGAAAGCCACATCAGGCTGAATCTAGGACTGCCTGTCATTCAAACCTCTCTTCAACTTGATTGAGTTATCTGTATTTCACTTCATTCTGTTGTTCGTAGTGATCTGAATGAGAAAAAAAGCTTTACCATTCAAAACTGTTTTATTTTATGTTGAATTGCAATCACATGCATAATGTTGTTATATGAATTTTGTAATTACGTGCTGTATTTATAGCTATATTTTTATATATTTCGTATTCACCATTCTCTGAACGGATCAGTTGTAAGAGATAGTAAGAACTGCCGATGCTGGAGTCTGAGATAAGTGTGGAGCTGGAGGAACACAGCAGGCCAGGCAGCATCA